GCTGTGTCTGCTTTTTTTTTTTAGTGTGGCTGCTGGGAACTGAACTCGGGTTCTCATATTTGTTTATTAAGCACTTTACCGCTCAGCCCATTTCCCTAGCTTCTCATCTTTATTTAATATAAAATTTTCAAAATTGAAGTTTGGAAACTGGCCATAAGAATGGTGGGCTGGGTGCATGTGCCTGTAGTTGCAGTCCTTGGGAGGCTGAGGCAAGAGAATCAGGAGTTAGGCAAGCTGGGACAGTGAGACCCAGTCTAAAAAAAGAAAAAGAAGTGTCCATTCCACACTGCTTTCTTCAGGATCTCTCTCTCCTGATTCCAAGCTCCATCACACGATTCCCACAATGATGTTCTGCCTCACCACAGCCCAAAACAATGGAGCCACATGGCCCTAGACCGAAATCTCTGAAATTGAGCTAAAATGGAAAGGTTTTCAGTTTATGTTCAAAGAAGACACTGAGGTAGATTGTCTTTTTGGGTAAGAATTTTATTAGAAGTCCATAGACATATAGACAGACAGTAATGGTGGGGGCTGTAAGGAGAGTTCAGGTCCTGTGTGTGGGGTCCTCTTCTTAGAGGTCTCAGAGGAAGGGGCTTTCATGTAGTCTGGTGATCTCTGATTCCCTGGTGGGTGGCAGGGCAAGGCGCGGGGGGGGGGGCATCCTGTACTGCCAGAAGGGAATGTGTGACTCCAAGGATATGATAGAAGTGAGGTGGAGGGGCATGTCTAGTTGAAGTGTGCTCATTATATGGGCCCCCCTCTGATGTCCTGTAGTCTAGCAGCCTGAGGTCAGTAAACTTTTTTTGGTGGGGAGTGAGAATGGTGTCTGCCATTATCCTGGAATCTGAGGTTAGGGATTCAGACAGGTTCTCAGTAGGGGCCTTTCTATTTCCTCTACAGTGGCTATAAGAAAGAGGCCACTGCAGGTGAATATGGCCCAATTAGCTCCAAGCCTCAAACCTAACAGAAATAAATTCTTAGGGAATGGGGAGATGGTTCAGCAGTTAAGAGCACTGGCTGTACTTGTAGAGGACTCTGGTTGGATTCCAGCACCCATATAGCAGCTAACAACTGCCCATAACTCCTGTTCCAGGGGCTCTGACACCCTCTTCTGGCTTCTGTGGGTATTGCATGTACATGGTATACTTACATACATGTAGGTAAAACACTCATACACATAAAATAAAAATCAGTCACTCTTTGAATCGTTTCTCTTGTGATCATGATGGAAAATGAATACAGCAGTCTTACATATTTGTCAACTGCAACCTGATGAAGGCGAGACTGGCAAGGGTTAGTAACACATACAAAATCTTCTCTAAAGTAAGAAACAGTTCTGCCGTTAACAGCAACTGAGATGTCCCCGTGGTTGAGCTTGCTCACATGCTGCAAAGTACCCTGCACATGATCAAACCACAGTGAGGATGGAAGCTGGGAAAGTGGGAGAAAGAGGAAAAGGTGGATCCACATAAAGGTGCTCCTTGGGTTCCTTCAGTGGGTTCTTTTGCACAGCTGGAGGTGTGGTAGCCTCTAGCAGTTTTGTAAGCCTGTTCAACTAACCCAAATGATGGACGTGAAGAGCTTCCTCTGCCTGAGCTTCTTTCTGTAGAGAGAAACTATACAGCAGCAGTGCCTTGTTCCTTCAGCTTCGCACTTAACATGCCAGGAAAAGGAAGCTGTGAGATGGTTGCCAGGACAGTCCACTGTCTCTGAGGCTTCACCGGATATCTGGGAATGGTGGTGTAGGACCCTGAGACCCTCCTCAGAGCCCCCACTAATTGCCTTCATAGCTTACTGCTTTAGACATGCCCTGACCCTCAAACTATAGATTAGGCAAGCCCGGACACAAAACTGCCCTATAAGGAGACTCCTGACCCCACAGGTGACAGTCAGCACATTCCACAACCCTGAGAACAGCACCCACCAATGGAAAACCTCCAGATCTGTACTCTATATGTCCAATCAGTTCAAAATTATGTTGGTGCGCACGGGCTCCTTAAACCAACCAAAAATGTAACTTCAGAATCCCCCTCCTCCCTTTGTCTAAAACTTATAAAAGACTACACTCTCCCTTACTCCAGGCTCTCAGCACGGATCCGCTGCATTGGTGAGGTCTGAGAGCCCGAGCTTAAGCCCGAATAAACCATAAACCCTTGCTTTTGCATTTTGGTGTGTTGGGTCCTCGGTGGTCTTTTTGGGGTCCAGTGGATGAGGTAAGTGGTTGTTGCCTGAAGGTATATGGCCTGAAAAGCTGTGAACCCAGTGCTTCCCAGGCACTTCCTCAAGCTCTATGGAGTTTCTGTATAGCTGTTGCCAATTTCATCTCTGTGGGGTCCCCATCCCCATCTGCGGAGCCTTTCCTGTAGCTCTAGAACTACAGGTAGGTACCAGAGATATTCCTAGGAGTCTTCCTTTGGTCTGGCCATCCTAGGGTCATCTGGCAATGGCTTTGGGGGCATTCTAGCTGATCTTTTGGCTCTGGAAGAATGAATGATAGGGTACCACATGGCTACCCCTAAATGATTAGAGATATTGGAAATTGTTGATATTTGGCCATTCTGACCATTAAAAATGGCAGTTTCATATTGTTCAGTCTAAACTTCTAATAAGGCAGGAAACAGAAGCCCAAATGGGATCTAATGCCTCCATTAAGAGGCAAAATACTGTTATGGAGTTCAAAATGATGGGAAAAGACCACTCAGACTCAAAAAAGTTCCAATCAGCCAGATTTAGCTGGCCAGGACAGCACCCTCTGAGCCAATTTAGAGAATGCCATACTAACTGGGAGGGGACAAGAGCTTTTAAAGGTGATGTCCAAAAGGTAAAGTCCTTGGTACAAGATTTACTCAAAGACAAGAGTCACATGTTTGTTCCTGTAGGTGGGCAAGCAGTTACTGAAGCCAGATAAACCTCAGCTGGAGACTCCCAGGATTACATGGGTGTGTTCCTCAGCTCTTCCTGGAACTTCTGGCCCCAGGCCAGGGTAGGGTCTGGGAGTCTGGGACAGTTCACCAAGATGTCTTAACACAAAATGGAGGCGCTCAGGCTATTACAATACAACTCCATCAGCTACAATAATGGCTGGCATAATTAGATACATCCATGGGTGCAACAGTGGCATGAATATTATAGAGTTAACCAGAGTCTATCTCTCTCTCTCTCTCTCTCTCTCTCTCTCTCTCTCTCTCTCTCTCTCCTTCCCTCCTTCCCTCTCTCCCCTCTCCCTCTTCTTTCTGGTCTCCCTGTAGCCCCAGCTGCTCTGGAACTTGGTATGTAGATCAGGGTGGCCACACAGAGATCCACCTGCCTCTACCTCCTCGTACTGGAATTAAAGGCATGCACTACCATGCCCAGCATCAACTGCTTTCTGATGGAATTTGAAGCCCACTCTGCAGGAGGCCTGGTATTGTAAATATGGCCAAGAGCCCACAGCTGGGGAGTTCACAGGCCCCTAAGGAGAACTTACTACTATCATTTTGCTAAATGGACATCAAACTGCCTTCTAAATTCATCTCTATACCCATAGATTAGCGAAGCTCTCACACCAGCTCTCAGACCACAACAAATAAGTTTCTTTGTGCAGCGGATGACGGTGAACAAAGAAACTCACGACTGGTCAAAGTATAGAGAATGAGTGACTGTGGAGTGCTCAGCCACAAATGGGACAACTCTATCACACTCCCTTTCTGCAAGGCTCAGGGATCACTACAAAAGGGGCAGAAAGACTGTAAAAGCCAGAGGTTGGGGAGGACTGGAGCAAAACTATCTTCTGGACATCACAGGGCCACTGCACTCATCTGGACATCACAGGACCACTGCACTCATCTGGACACCACAGGACCACTGCACTCATCTGGACATCACAGGACCACTGCACTCATCTGGACACCACAGGACCACTGCACTCATCTGGACATCACAGGGCCTCTGCACTCATCTGGACATCACAGGACCACTGCACTCATCTGGACATCACAGGACCACTGCACTCATCTGGACATCACAGGACCACTGCACTCATCTGGACATCACAGGACCACTGCACTCATGAACTCACAGTAACTGTGGTTTCCTGCACCCAATTAAGCCAATCAACATTCTAACATGGAGGAGGGAGAGGCTCATGAGTCCCTATCACTAGCTGAGGAATTACTGATAGCTGATGGCTTCTGTGGGGGAGGGAGTGTTAGTTTTCTTTAAGGGTGTAGCCCTTAGTAGGTTGACTCTGTTCCAGTGGATGGCTCCATACCCATGAGTATATGGGCAGCACAAACTGGACTTAGTGGATTATAAGAAAAAAAAAAAAATAGAGACCATGAGGTTGGGAGGAATGGGGGTAGATCTGGAAGAGTTAGGGAAGAGTGGGGAGTGAATATGATCAAAACACAGTATGGGCGTGTATGAATTCTCAAAGAACTAATAAAATAGTAAAAAAGAAGCAAAATATGGAGGGTTGGAGAGATGGCTTAGCAGGTAAAGGTGCTTGCTGCCAAGTCTAAGGACTTGAGTTCAATCCCTGGAATCTACATGGTGGGAGGAGAGAGCCAAACCGTGCAAGTTGTCCTCTGATTTCCATAGGTGCACTGTGGCATATATATATCCCGCCCCATGTTTAAAAAAAAGAAGCAAAATGTTTTCTAGCACATTCACCTCCCAATTTATTTTCAGTCCTGTTTGAGGCTCCTATGGATTGAATTGTAAGCTCCTCCCGTAACTCACAGCTTATCTTATTTGTAAACATGGTTAATCCAGTTAAAGTTAGGTCATTTAGATGGGCTCTACTAATATGACTAGTATCCTCATAAACAAAGGAAAGAAATTAGGGGCTGGAGAGATGGTTCAAAGTTATGATCACATACTGTGCAGTCCTGAGGACTGGAGTTCAGATCCCAGCACTTATGTAACAAACCCAAAATCCTACAAAACCTCTAACTCCAGCTCCTCTTCAGGCCTTCATGCACATACATGTGAACACACAGATACACACAGAGACACACAAATAAAATAAATAAATCTTTACCAAGGGGAATTTGGACACAGAAACAGCAAAGAGAATACTGTGAAGATACAATGGGAGAATCCTGCTGCATTTACAAACCAAGGAATGCCTGAGGTTTCCTTGGGAGAAGCCAGGAGAGATGTATGAAAGAGTTCTTGTCTAGAAGCTTAGAAGGAACAAGGCTTTGTTAACACTTTAGCTTTAGATTTCTGGCCTCCAGGACTGTGAAACTAAGTTTTTGTTGGTTTAAGTCATCTAGTTTGTTGTACTTTATTACATAGCTAGGAAATAAACAGTCTCCTTCCAGTAATGACAAACTATCCTGTTTTAAGACACAATAGCAAAGGCCAAGTTAAAAATGATATAGTGGATTAATCTCTAGGACCCCAGACAACAGATCTTCAGTATCCATTCCCATATGAATGAATGTGGTTCCTACTATGACAAGAAAGATTTGTTTGTTCAGATACAACAAATCTAGGTTTGTAACACACAGTGGAGTGCTTATGCACATGTGCACTCCACCTACACAACCCCACATATTTATTCCTGCATTTGGCTTTCTCAAATTTCCAGGTTTGCAGTAAAGGTTTCAATATAATCTTTTTTCTCCAGTCTGCAGTGGGATAGATGTTGAGTTGATGTAACTTTAAGGAGTCTGTTCCAATTTCAGAGCCACACATTTGCTGACAGTCTCCCAGGGAGTGTTTCTTGCTAAAAGTTTGGAAGTTGTGTATTTCAAAGGCTGTTCTGATGGTCAGTGTAAGCAGGTCAGTGTAACCCTGGGGGTTGAGCAGCTGTGACAGCAGGAGTGGAGGCAGGTGCTGCTTCTGGAGGACGGAGAGCCTCATGCAGAACAGTGGAGTCACCAGAAGCTCTTTTATGTCAAACGTTTATCAGGATCCAGCTTTATAAATAAGGCTAAACCGATAAAACAATAGATTATATTAAAAGTTAAGTGGTTTAAATCTGATGAGACTACCATAAATAGACACAGAAAGGAAATTCCTGGACCTCCAGTCACACGTCTCAGATATTACAACCTAACTTCCCTGCCCCTACTAGGTCCCCTACTGCTTGGCTATTTCATGATTTATCATGATTTCCATTAAGAGACACTCAGGGAATTGAGACGTAAATTCACAACAGAGAGAACTGATATGGGAGATTTAGTGAATGTCATAGTTTTAAATGTCAACCTGACAGGGTCTACAGTCACCTGAGAAGGGAGTCTCAATTAAGGGATTTCCCAGATCAGCTTGGCCTGTGGGCCACCTATGTGGGTGGTTGTCTTTTTTAAAAAGCAGTTTTTGATTTTATTATGCATATGAGTAAATTGCCTGCATGTGTCTAAGTGCGCCCGTGTTGTGCAATGCCCAAGGAAGTCAGAAGAGGGCTGGAGTTCCAGATCCCTTGGAACTGGAGTAACAGACGGTTGTTAGCTGCAATGTGGGTGCTGGGAATAGAACCTGGGTCCTATGCAAGAGCAGCCAGTGCTCTTAACCGCTGAGCCATCTCTCTAGGCAATGTGGGAGGTTGTCAGCCCACTGTGGGTGGCACTGTTCCCTGGGTAGGTCGGCCTGGGCTATGTAAGAGGCTAAGTGTAAACTGGGGAGCAGCGTTCCTCTGTGGTTTGTTTCAGTTTCCTGGTTGAGTTCCTGCCCCAGTTTCCCTCAGTGATAAGGAGGTATACTTCCAGGAAGTGACCTAGAAGTGCAAACTGAAATAAACTCTCTCCTCCCTAAGTTGCTTTTGGTCAGAGTGCTTTATCACAGCAACAGATGCAAACTAGAATACTGAGACAAGAATTACAAGCTCACAGCCTGGAATGGGCTCAAATTCTTCACAATATCCCTCCTGCTCCTTTTGTCCGTCATTCTTGCAAACAGCTGATACTTAGGGGGAAAATGAATTGCTTAAACAGGATATTAAAAGCATTAATCAGCTGGATGTGGTGGCACATGCCTGTAGTCCCAGCACTCGGGAGGCAGAGGCAGGCGGATCTCTGTGAGTTTATCACAGTGAAAGATTTATCGTCCTCTTTTTTTTTTTTTTTTTTTTTTTTTTTTTAAAAAAAAAAAAAAAAAAAAAAAAAAAAAAAAAAAAAAGCATTAATCATAAAGGGGAAAATCTAATAATGTAATTACATTACCATCACAAACCTCTGTTCATAAAGAGACACCTTAAGGCCAGAAAAAAAAAAAGTACACACTGAAAGATGTGCCACTCTTACACATCCAATAAAAATGTTAGTCTAGGGCTGGAGAGATGGCTCAGTGGTTAAGAGCACTTGATGCTCAATCATGAGGACCAGAGTTCAAACCCTAGCACCCACATTAGGTAGCTCACAAATGCCTATAATTCCAGCAGACACCCTCCTCACTCCATCCAGGCTCTGACACTGCTGGGCCACTGTAGCTATCCCCCTGGGGAGACCCTCCCCTTATCCCTGGGCTTGCCACACCTAAATGCACATAATCCATGGCTCTTAGAATGAATTAAGGATGGGAGAAAGGGAGGGCAAGGCGCAAGTACAAGGGAAGAAGGAAGGAAGTACAAGGGAAGAGGAGGTAAAGGGGAAGGAACTGGAAGAACCGCTTTACTTTTTTCTACACAGTGACACATACTTTATTTCTGTCCTGCACTTTGTAGTTTTCATCCAATATATGTTAATGAAACTGTTTCACTTCGAAGAGCTTCCTCATTTTTTCCTGCGGCACCACAATGTTTCACAGTATTTCTTATGGTACACAAACAAATGAGAGATGAACTGTAGTTCTTTAACCAGTTTGCCACTGGGATACGTGTGTATCTATGTTTTCTGTTTTTGCTGTTGCATGTAATGCTGGAATGCACACATACGGGAACTACAGAGCAACCCAACACATTGTTTATATTTTTATATAATGCTTTGCTCCTATATTATCTGTGGGATAAAGTTTTGGAGGTGGCTCAAAGGGTATAATTTGTAATTTTTTTTTTTTTTTTTTTTAGACAGGGGCTCACTATGTAGCCCTGGCTGGCCTGGAATTCACTATGTAGAACAGGCTGGCCTGAAACACACCTAGATATCCACCTGCCTCTGTCTCTGAGTGCAAGGATTAAAGACATGACCACCATACTCAGCTAATTTATAATTTTGATAGATACTGGCAAATAGGACTTTCCTAGCAATGTATAAGAATACCTTTAACCATAGGGGTGGGGGTGTAGCTCAGTGGAGAGTCCTTGCCTAGCATGTGTAAAGCCTTGGAGTTTGATTTAAGCACTGAAATAAACTGCCGTCAGTCCCCCAAAACCAAAACACCCACCCAAAAACCAACTGAGCGGGGTGTAGCAGGGTGGTACAAGTCTGTAACTTTAGTACTCAGGAGGAAGCAAGAGGATCAGGAGTTCAAGGGCATCCTTTCTATACAGCAAGTTCAAGGCCAGCCCAGGGTACATGAATCTGTGTCTCAAACAAACAAACAAACAAACAACAAAAAACCCTCAAACTCAAGAAAAAAGCCAAAAACTTTTAGTTTTTTTGGTGCATGTTTCTGTGAAACAAAATCGACAACAAAGCAAACAAAACCGTAACCCAACTTCACACAAGGGATAGTGGCAGCTTCTTACCTGCTGCCTCTGCGTGCAAAGTCTTCTCATCATTACTCTGAACAGTACAGGAAACAAAATGTTTCCTTCCTTCAATTTTGTGAAGTTGGCTATTTAGCACAACAACAGAACAAAGGGGGATAGGTCTGCAGAAGGAAGGAAAAAGAAAAACAATTTTTATTAAACATATGTAATATTGAATGATGACCCAGTGCACAATAGGGTGGAAATTCACGATACCAATGCTGACTATCTTAGAACATTCCTTAAGGGCTCTTCCTTAGGCATATGGTCCCAGACTACCCTTCTGGGTTGTGGTTCAAAGAGATCAAAGGGATTCTCTGTTGTGGCAGTCTATCCCATTTGGAGATCCAGAGCCAAGTCTGATGAGAGTTGAAAGAAGTGGCAACAGGGCGAAGGGATGTCCTTGTCAGCTTCACTATTATCAATCTCTTGGGCTGGTGACTTGGCTTAGTCAGTAAAGGCTCTTACCCATGACCTGAGATCAATCCCCGGAACCTACTTGGTAGAAGAGGAGAACCAACTCCTGCAAGTTGTCCTCTGACCTCCCCATGTACACTGTGGCACAAGTGGGGCCCCACCCTGTAATACATAAATAAATAAATTTCGAATATAATTCCCTTAGAGTACTTGTCTGGCAACTGCCTTATTATTTTAAGTCAGTGCTGTCAGTGGAACTCTCTGTGATGAGTTCCATATAAAGGTCCCATATCTGAGTTGTTCAATATGGTAGTGATTTGGTTACTGAGCACTTGAAATGTTGCTATGGTAAACGAGAAGTTGAATCTTACAATTTATTTAATCTTAAATTTAAATAGTTACATGTGCCTAATTGGTTTATCATTTGGGGGGAATCCTGGAGATAGAGTACTACAACGAAGAAGGCCCTCCTCCTCCTTCTTCCTGTTATTACTATTGAGACAGGGTCTCACTACTGGCTGGCTTTGAACTCCTGTGTAAGCCAGGCTAGCCTTGAACTCACAGAAATTCGTCTGCCTCTGCTTCCAGAGTGCTTGGATCAAAGGCATGCATGGCACCCAGTAAAAGGCCTTTTCTTTTTCTTTTTAAATTTTATTTATTATTTTTATTTTATGTGTATGCATGTATCGCCTGCATGTAGGTAAGTGCACCTGTGTCGTGCAATGCCTGTGGAGGTCAGAAGAGGCTGTCGGATCCCCTGGGACTGGAGTTACAGACAGTTGTTAGCTGCCATGTGGGTGCTGGGATTTGAACCCGGGTCTTCTGCAAGAACAGTGTTCTTAACCACTGAGCCATCTCTCCAGACCCAAAAGGCCTTTCTTTAAAGGTGAAGTTTCTGTTGGCAGAAGCATTAGGTTAGAGGGAGGAAAGGTGTTCTGGGCTCCTACGGTACCACCTTATGGACACAGGAACTTGTCTCCTGCCCAGTTCTGCCTTCTCTTTGAACTGTGGAATGTTCATTTGTCCTCTAAGTTTTTTCTTATACTTCCCATCTTTTTTCTCTCTGTACTGGATTAGGAGTAATTCATCCTCTTTCTCCCTTTCCCTAGATCTTAAAATAATTTCAAGGCACTATTTAATATATGAAATTGATAGCTCTGTACATTAGTACTCGCAACACTGCTCTGGGAAAAGAGATGAGGATACTTTTCTCTGAGGGCTGGAGAGGATAGTAACTTGCCAGCTATGCCAATCTGAAAGCACAGGTCGATTCAAATCCATGTTAGTCTTACTGAAAGTTCTGTTTCTCTTTTGCATTTAAGCTTCTTGTATCTGTCAATCACTTAGCTGAGGCGGACACGTCAGTAAAATTGTGGATATGTTTCATTATCACACTGAAACAATGGAGCTGGTGACTAACGTTGAGGCCACTAGTCAGCACTGGGTGTAAAGACCTGCTGAATGGATTTGAATAAATCTTGGTGAAGGAGGGAACATCTTGTAGGGAGAAGTGATTTGAGGTTTCACTTGGATGCAAAATTACAAAAACATAAGAACTATAAAATGTCAAAGTGAATTTTTAGTGAAAAACGTAGAATAGGATTTAATTATGCATTTTAGAGGAATAAGCTTCCAAATGTGAAACCAACGGCCACACAACTGTTGAAGTGATTTGAACTTCTAAAGACAGAAATAGAACAGAAAGCAAGAAAACAAACCCCACAGACCCAGCGGTCACTCCTCTCTTCCTATGCTCTCAGAAGGCACTGGCAAAGCTTTATTTATGTAAACTGCAGTTGGATTAACATCTAGATTTCCAAGCACAATTCACATCTCCATGCAGCAGTGAACATTCTATACAGACTGTCCACAAGGCGGGGTAGTAACAACAGGAAACCGAAAAAGCTCAGCCACAGTTCTGAATTTAAGCAGACTCAGAGAAAAGGTCATGCGTTTCCTGGGCAGTGTCGCCAGGGCCACTTCTTCAGGCCCCCATTTCTGTTCATTTTCATTTCAACAGCTCTTTTGTTTTTTAAACAATTAAACTTTCATCTCTAAAACTTCCATTAGCTTCCATAGCAAATCTAGTAATTTCTAGTTTCTTTTTGCTTTGTTTTTGTGGCTTTTCTTTCATTTTTAACCATTTCACACTTTGTTTTTCAACAGTATTTGTTTATTTGTGTATTTGATTATCATGTAATATCTAAAACCTCTGAGGAGCTACATCTGATTTTTGCTGATACTCTTTAAAATTTTTTCATGTTATTTTTATGTATGAACATGTATTTGTGAGTGTATGTCACGTGTGGGGTACCTACATAAGGGCTCTTAACCACTGGGCCATCTCTGGCCCCTGATAGCCACTCTTGGAAGTTTATTTAGTTATATATTTGGTGAAGGATCTACTCATTTTGAAGGAGAAAATGTCCTTCAGCATTTCTTATCTGCCACACAGCATCAAAAGCCCACTGGAAAGCTTCTTGCCTGACAGGTCATGAAGGGGCTACAGGCTCACTCAGACACTGACCTTGCAGCAGGGATACACCACCACTTTTGAGCTGTTTTGTCTCCCAAAGTACTAGAGATAAGGAAATAATTCAAGTAGATTTCAGGCTGGAAATTGAGATGGTTAAAGCAAAGTTTTGTTTCTTAGAAGTAAAAAGGTTATCTTCAATGAAAACAACCTAGGTTGTTACCACTAGCATTATCACTTGTTCAGATTACATTATTATCACTATTATGAGTTTAGATAACCTTATATAAAAGGATAGAGACTGATAAATATTAAATTCTTTTTTTTTTTTTTTTTTTTGGTCTTTTTGAGACAGGGTCTCCTGTAGCCCCAGCTGTCTTGGAACTCACTATGTAGACCAGGCTGGCCTTGAACTCACAGAGGTCCACCTGCCTCTGCCTCCCAAGTGCTGGGATTAAAGATGTGTGCCACCATGCCTGGTATAAATATTAAATTCTAAACTATTTCAATGCTTTATTCTGGAATTTAATCATCACTTGACTGGAGAGAATAGAGGCTGTGCATTGTGGTGAGAGTACTGGACTTGGGATCAAGATGTGAGGTTTTTTTGTGTGCTGGGGATTAAACCCAAGGCTGAGTGCTCTCTCATGAGCTACATCCCCAGCCCAAGATGTGAGTTCTAATCCTACTTGTACTGTTTTCCACCTACGTGATTTTAGTTAAAACTTGTTTTTATAAAATTGCAGGAAGACTACAGACTATGCAGAGTCTGCATGAAGCATGTTTTCAAGATATAAGCCTTTCCTTTTTTTTGAGACAAAGTCTCGATATAGTCCAGGCTACCCTGGAACTTGCCATACAGCCAGGCTGGCATCAGATTCCAAATCCTTCTGTCTCAGCTTCTTATAATGTTGAAAATATAGGTATACACCACCATACCCTGTTTACAAATACTGTTTGAGCTAAACTGTATACCAAATACTTTATTTCAGCTTGTTTTGCAATGAACCTTTTATCCTCAATTTTTTTTTGAGGGAAGATGTACTTCATTCTTCAACTTTATTTGAATATGGAAAAATATTTTTAAAAATGTAGACATGAAAAATATTAAAAACTTAATATATTCTCTCCCATCTTAGTGCTAGGGCTCAAACCCAGTCCTCTGTGCATGCTAGGCATGTGTGCTACCATTAAGCTATATCCCAGGCCTTGGTTTTTTTGAAACAGGTCTTGCTATGTAGCTCAGGTTGTCCTTGAACTTGCTACATACTCCAGGCTGGCATTCAACTTGTCATCTTCCTGCCTCAGCCTCACAAGTGCTGGAAGTACAGGCATGTGCCATCATACTCAGCTAACAACTCAATATATCCTTTATCATGGTAACACTGAAAGCCCTAGGTAGAGCAATTGGGGGAAAAAAAGAAACAAAAATTATAGAAATTGGAAAGAAAGAAGAAAAATCATGTTAGCAGGAAATAGGTCCTCAGACGTAGAAAATTCTAAAGATTTTACATAAAAAGTATTAGAATAAATGGATTCAGTGGAGATGGAGATGGCTCAGCAGTCAAGAGCACTGGTCGGTCTTGCAGAGACCCAAGTTTGGTTCCCAATACCTGAAAGGTGGCTAACAACCACCCATAACTCCAGTTCCAGGGGATGAGAAACTCTCTTCTGGCCTCTATGGGCCATGTGGTGCACTCACATGCAGGCAAAACACATCATATACATAAAAAAATACATAAAATAAATTAAAAAGTGAATTTGGTAAAGTGGCAGGATAAGAAATTAATATCTGAAAATTGATTTTATTTCCATACATCAAAATGTATTATTTGGAAAGGAACTTTAGAAAGCAATCCAATTCATAACAACATCAAAGAGAATAAAATCCCTAGGAAAACTTAAATGAAAAGCTGGAAAGCTATATACTAAAAACTATAACATTGATGAAAAAATTAGACACAATTAGATCCTATGTTTGTGGAATGGAATATTTATATTATTAAAATGTTGATATGCTCAAAGATTTAATCTATGGATAAATTACAACCCTTATAAAAATTTCAGGGGCTGTAGAGATGGCCCAGTGGTTAAGAACACTTGTTGGTCTTACAGAGGATCCAGGTTTGGTTCTCAGCACCTATGTCAGGGAGCTCATACTGCTTTAACTTCAGTTTCAGGGGGTCTGATTGTTCTCTTCTAGCCTCCATGCTCACCAGGCATGCACGTGGT